AAAAGATCAGAGAGATATTGCCTTTTGAGTGCCAAAAACTCGCATGAAAATTTTCGAGAGACCTTATCTCTTTGCATGGGAGGCGTTCAAAGCAATTTCAACACTGTTTGGCAGTAGCGGGCCTTTCTCTATCGAACCCGACCGAGTGCTATTTAAAAGGTTGGAAAATTGGGGAACGGAACCTTTTCATATAGGGTGTACTTTCCGGTGGCTTTGAAAGGGGCATCAGCAAATCTGACCCAGAGACAAACCGCGCAGCAGCTATCGCGGAGTCGGCCGTCGGTCGATACAGGCTGTTGTGGTGCTTTTCTATGAACTTCTCAAAATTCGCATTGGCATGGACAACTCTGTGAGATTGCAAAAGCCCTCTTCGGTCGGGAATCGAACCCGCGTCTCGCATGTGACAGACGTACCACTACACTACCACTACACTCCGTTCGTGGATGAGAATCAAAATAGGAGGGGTCGTGCCAAGACTTCGATTTTAGTGGGGGGGAGTCGTACTTCTGCGTCCACGTCCTCGACACGATTTTCACCCTGCCTGCAAGCCTCGCCTTCCGCAGTCGGCCATCACGTGATGTTGCGAGGAGAGCGCGGGCGCACTTGCAGCAGCGGTTGCATTACGGGGACATCATGACATCTAATGCTTTAAGTGATGCGAGAACCAGGTGGTATGCTGGACGCATTCCACTCCCATTTTTATCGCGAGGCTTGCCTTTGAGTGATGAAAAGCTGTCAAAAGGGAGAATCACCGAATTACAGTAGCTTACCTGCAAATATCATCGCACCACACAGCGAGAAGACGGCAAACACTGCTCGATTTTTGTCGAATAGTGGCACCATGAAGATACACATTGCCAGTCCCGCAGAAGCGACCGCGTTGAAACCCTAAGAAAAACTTCGATCAGTACCGCATCTGCAGTCAGCCTACGCTTTTTGTTGGCCATAATGTTGATACAAGTGATTCCAATGAGTTGTTAGAAGAACCTCGCTTTCAAATGAAAATGGCAACGGAATGACACCTAACATGTCAATTCCCCTATGAGGACCGATGAATCATTGTTTGCAAAGAAAATCGAAAACACCAAAAACGTGAGATATGGTCAGAATTTTCCCTCGAGTTTTCACGGGGACGTTGATTTGAAACTGTGGCCCTGCATAAATGTTGCAGCCTTGCGATTGAATACGTGCAATGGCCGCTAACCCTTGCAAACTCCAGAGACCATTTGATAGAGACCAGAATATGATTGGGTCCTAGATGTGAGGTCAAACTCGGCCGCCATTAGAGAGGGATGCCACGGTGAGGTCTGAGGGTCACGTCTGGTCGAAAGGAAGAAGGGCCACCTATGGGTGAAAGATGACGCGCGTTCCGCAGCATAGGGTATTTGGTGAAGATTTTGCAGCGGACTAGCAGGGCCGTATCCGCGCCGCTTGCGCCGCTGCCCGCCCGCCAGCTGGCTAAGCCCTTGCCGGCGGACTCTACGGCTTTAGCAGTGACGCAAATGGAGCGTTCGCTCTGATGACATCAGCATCAATGAGACGCGTTCCAGGTCGGAACTCAGTGGGCACAATGATGGCCCACTTCTTAGGCTCGGGGCACTTTTCTTAATTTTTTTCATGGGTGCGTCACTGATCACCTCTACGGTCTAATGGGCTGTCATGAAATCCACTTTGAAGGGGAGCTCATAAAATACTGACTGTAACGCTTAATGACACCACAGAGTGAATTGCGAACACCTGTAAGATGTACGCCGCCTTAATTTCCCGATAAATTTCTTCTCTTGAATAATTATTGCGTGGTTCTTTAGAGAACTAGTTCTATTCATTCTTTTGCAAAATTAAGAGCAACGAGAAACCTTGCAGACGATTGTCTTGTCCATGTCTCTTTTCGTAACCAAGTACGATGCAAACGACGAAGAAAGCGTTTTTGAGAGGAACAGGCACAGAATTGGCAAGGCGGCGATCAGTCCGTTCTGCGTGGGCGCAAACTCCAACACGTCACGCATGTAGTTGGGAAGAAACTGGAAAATCGAGCATTACAGTCAGTCATTTCTGGC